AGGCATCTGTAGTTCTGCTCGGTAAGCAAACATGGCAGTGCTCCAGCACGTGGGTGGAGGAAACTGGACCCCTGAGTGACAGGAGGCAAGCCACGCTAACAGCTTTAGTATCTTCACTGGAAATACCAATAGCTTATAAGGAGCAGCAAGTGCCAGACATCCACTACTAAGATGGCCTGAACACGAGGGAGCCAACAAAACTAGCGAAGTGAGGAGGAAGAGCAGCAAGATGCCCTCAGGGCTGGGACATGTGTGGCCCACCCCACCCTAAAAGAAACAAAAGGCAGAAGAGGCATGCCTCTACCAGCTTCACTTGGTAGCCCAGGAGCTGTGCTGCTTGGGTTCTCCCACAGCCTCTGTTGAGTAATTACCACTGCTGGGCGGGAAACAATTCTTGACAGTAAGGGCCGTGGAGACTAGGAAAATCTCCTGATTGCTGGAGACAAATTGGACAATCAGGATGGTTTAGGTTGGAAGGGACCTTGAAGATCATCGAGTTGCAACTCCCCTGCAATGGGCAGGGACACCTCCCACTAGACCAGGTTGCTTAAAGCCCCATCCAGCCTGGCCTTGAACACTTCCAGGGATGGGGCCTCAACAACTTCTCTGGGCAACCTGTTCCAGTGTCTCACCACACTCAGTAAAGAATTTCTTCCCGGTATCTAATCTAAATCTCCCCTCTTCCAGTTTGAAGCCATTACAATGGTGTGACCAGAGCGGCTTAGGGACAACTGATGCTGCCTTGGAGGACAAAATCTAGGTCAGGGAATGGCAACACTTCCAAGGTTACAGTACCAAGGTGTATTTTTTGTTTCCTAAAATAGAGCAGAAATTTGAGAATTGGGAGAGGATACCTCCCAACGAGGCCAGATGCTGACAAGCTTGTCAGCTGGTATTAGGTCTTTATTTAAGCCAGGAGCTCACACAGGTCCCTCTCTTAAGATGGCACAGCTTCCAGTTCCGAAGCAGTAGGTCAAAACGTGTCCACATGCTTGTCCTCTGGCATCTGTCCCAGGTTTCTGACTACAGACAACTTCGCGAAACACAGTTTCCCTTGTGTGGGTCACACAATTCTGCAACACTGATGCTGTTTGAAGTTGTGATCTGTTCTCCATTCCAAGCACACCTAAAAGGCCACAGAAAACAGCCTCTCACCGCTACAAACACAAGCCTCAAGTCCTAAAAGCTCAAAAATGCTTAGAGAAACGCTGAGGGTTTTTCTACTGATACAAATACTTCAAATTAGTTGCTAAAGAAAAAAAAAACCACCACACACCTGGGAGTTGGTATGCTTGGGCAGTTAGTAATACGTCAAAATAAAATGCCAGTATGATGCCGTCCCTCCTTGTATGTGCTTCTTCAGAGGTCTGGCAGGAAGCTCCTGGCAGAGAGGAGCACGAGCAGCACAAGATTACCTGACAAAATGGAAATAGAAGAATTTGCTAACTAAAAAAGTCAAGGAAGCATCAATTCTGGTGTCTGTAGAGAAGCTGTGTAGATTACAAAAGCAGGTTAGTGGCGTGGGGTTCATATTCTCTTCTTTGGTGGCCGCTGGTCCTCTGTTCTGAAAGCTAGTGCAGTTATCTTAGTCTCTACACGTCACACTTGCTAATGCATTATTTTCTACTTTCTTATTCATAAGTTTCTGTCAATTTTTCT